TCATGTGCATTGCATTTCAAGTTTAATGGTTTTGCACAAATCTAATTTCTGATATAACATAAAAAAAGTTAGATACATAATATAAAATTGTATTTCAGTCAAAAGATAAGATATTATGTAAGAACATCGCCCAACCTGGATCTAATTGTTTTTTGCACTTACAATCCATCCCAGAGATAAAGATTGCATACCTATTGATTCTTTATTGGTATGTTGTGATGTTGTTACCGTTCTTATTGAATGTAGAGGATTTCACAAGATAGTGTCTAATATATAGAGTGGTGGTGTTTGCGTTTTTATTGGTGTAGAGATTATCTTGTGGATTGATGTGTTGACAATATATTAAGCGTTGCTATTTTATGAATGTAGGATATACAGATTATGGATTACTTTATGAATATATACCCCTCAATTTCTGACTAAAACTGAGAGAAAGGTTATTTCCTTTTTAATTAAAAAATAAAATAAGAACACACCACTCGGTTATTAAAAAACCGAAGAAATAAATGATTTAATTTATAAATAAAAAATAAAATAATAACAAATGCATCATTTTCCCCTCATCTTTGGCATTTAACCAGTGAGATAAATAAGATTGAGTTTATTATATTTAACGTGGATTGCTTATTTCACTAAACCCTAACTGAACATATAAATTTTCAAAATGGGTTAGAAAAATAATTGTATGAACAATTGTGTTTCATATGAAGAACTACTTATACTAATCAATAATTTTTAGCATCCTCTAACTCATAATTCATCCCACACTCTTTAATTGTTAAAATCTCTTCAATGTTTCAATTTCTTAATTCAACACTTCCTTTTCTACTAATTCATTATTGAAATCATAAATTTTGATGCTTTGAAAAATGAACAAATATGGAAAGAAGTTGAATGAAAACTAGAAGTATTAGAGAAATTTTAACAACTAAAAAATATGAGTTAGATGATGAGTTAAAGAATGCTAGAAAAATATTAATCAATGTAAGATAAATTTCAATACACATAATTTTCATATGATTATTATCAAAATAAATTTAACAGGTTATATGTTTATAGAGGGATTAGTGAAACAAACAATCGACATTAGATACAAACTACAACATTTGTTGTCTCTGGCAACACTTTTTTAGGTAACATGTAGAAATTGTTGCCTTAAATTCATATAAGCAACGATTTACGATTGTTGTCAAAAATATATTTGCAACTCTTGATAATCGTCGCCTAAAATACTTTTGGGGACGTTTATGGAGCGATACTCTTTTATTTTTTTGCCAACGGTTGTTAATTGTGCCCTTAACTGCTTTTGGGGACGATTTTAGAGCGTTAAAATATTATTTCTTTAGCAATGTTTGACAATTGTCCCCTAAAATATTTTTGGGGACATTTTTAGATTGTTACATTAGTTCTAATAAAAGGCTACATTTCTGAAATATTGTATAAATTTTTTTAGAATTATCAAATTTTTGGTGGCAATACTCCCTCCAAAACTTATACACTAAAAAACAAATATTTTTCTCTAAACATTATTAATATATATAAAAAAAATATTTTTCTAACACAGGAATTTAAAAATAAAAAATTTCAATTAAACAGAAAATAAAAATTATATATATATATATATATATATATATATATATATATATATATATATATATATATATATATATATATATATATATATATATATATATATATATATATATATATATATATATATATATATATATATATATATATATATATATATATAAAAGTCTAAAACTTATATATATTTCAATTAAACAGGAATTTTTCTAACACATTATTAATATTTCTCTAAAACTTATATATATGTATTAAATTTTTTTTCATTAAACAGAAAATAACAAAAAAATATAAAAGCCACACCGTCCATTATTCCCTTCCACATTTTTTCTTCGTGTTCTCTCCCTCATCTTCTGTCTCTCTTACCTCACACCTAAAACAACAACAACATAATGAACCCTAGATCAAAACCCGATTCGGCGACGGTGTTGTCCTCCTATCCAGATTCTGGTGGCCTTGGGTGTGGCTATGTGATGAATAGATGGGGCTTCGCGGTGGGTTCGGTATCAATGGCGCTTGGAGATGGTGTCGCGGATGAGAGATCGAGTCCCAGAGGTCTGGGTTTTGTGTCGTGGTTGAGTTGTCGGTGATGTCGTGCGATCTTGGGTTTGCGCAATCTGCCGAAGGCGATGATGACAGTTGCGTCTTTGCAAAAGCTGGTGGAGTGGAGGGTTGTTGCGGGAGACACAGTTCCGGGGGATGCAGGAAGTGCGACGGAAAAGGTAAATTTATGTAACAATTCTTTACTGCATTTGTTTTTAGCTATTCTCAGCTATCTCTCATCCCTTTCTTAACTGTCTGTCTCTCGCTTTATAGCCTTAGAGAAATAGTTTTTTTAGGAAACATCTTAATGTGTTTGTAAATTGATTGTAGTTTTAAAGGTAATTGATTATGTAATGCATCATTCACTTCTCTCGTAGAGTTGTTAAAAGAGGCTATGCCAAATTTGAACATCCCTGTCTCTTTCAATAAAACAAAATCTATGATAAAAGTCACCCGGAAATGAAATTGATGTGTATTTGCAGCCACTTATTGAGGAGCTTAACATATTGTGGGAAGTCGGTGTATAAACATATGATATTTCAAAAAATATTTGCAGCCACTTTTTAATTACTGTATATTCTAATTGTTTGGTTGACCTAGATTTGTACTTTGTGAAAACAGGGGAACGTGTAGTATCCAGGGTATTGTCAGCTACGAATGAGGAAGGTCGAGTTAAAGGGGAGAACTCCATCGAACATGTCACATGTGAGGAAGATGCTATTGATGCTGACGACAATGATGAGAGACTTACTAAATCATCTAATGCTTCTGATAAAGCATTTGAGGTCTTAGTAAGTGACATATTTACCTCGTGTTTTGCTTGTGATTTGTAGTACTTTGTTCATTAAGGGTACACAAGTTTTCTCAGGTTTCTGATCATGCTAGGAAAGTTATGCATGTTTATTTATACGAGTGGGCTGTGCATCATTTATCAAATACAGTATTTAGTATACTTTCTTTGATTGGTTTTCCTATTATGAGTTTAAAATATGGCAGTGTAAATAAATACAACACATGCATGCTTCAATCTTTCCTTCCATCTCCTTCTTTGTTTTGACTTTGATAAATATGTATTTTATATTGTCTCAAGTTAGAATTTGAGTTTGAAACAATAAAAAAGAATAGAAGTTATATCTAGCTATCAATTAATAAAATTTATATTTTCTTTTATTGGAACTCTATCTATGGTCACGGTTTTAGGACCGTACATGTATTAACTTCAATCATTTCCTTCCATACCTGGCTAGCTCCGTTAATTTGAAGAAAAAAAAACAAATGAGTGTTGCAATCAACACTCATTTTTTTCCATATATGTCTGAAAATTACATTAATGCAATGAAGAAAAACCAACCATAGTGCTTACTGAAATTTTTTTCTTTAAATTTGGTGTATCTTCTTTCAGCTTACTATGCAAGGGAAACAACATATTGAATCTTCTAGCAAAGTAAACAATATCAAGCATCGTGACGAAACACCGCCTGATGTTCGAGTACGGAAACTAAAGGATCGGCTCATCCAAGCTAAAGTTTATCTTTCCCTTCAGGCAGTTAGGAACATTCCCCATCTCACTCGGGAACTTCGGCTACGGGTAAAGGAAGTTTCACGAACAATTGGAGAGGCAAGCAAAGATTCTGACTTGCCAAGGAAGTAAGTGAGTTTTTAAGAATGTATTTTTTGTACTTGTCACCAGGTTTTCCTATTTTTATATAGCTATTACGTTAGTTATTTCATATTTAGCTTTATTGGGAAGTAGCATACAAATATGTTGAATAGTTCAGGTCTTCATGATCTACATTTTATTCAGTTTGAACTTATATTTGTAATTCTACTAATGCAGTGCAAATGAGAGAATGAAGGCAATAGAGAAATCATTGATGAAAGCAAGGAAAATTCAAGATGATTGTGCCACATCCGTGAAGAAGCTTAGGGCTATGCTCCACTCATCAGAGGACCAGCTTCGCGTGCACAAGAAACATACCTTATTCTTAACACAGTTGACAGCTAAAACACTGCCTAAAGGTCTCCATTGTCTTCCGTTGCGCCTTACAACTGAATACTATAACTTGAACTCTTCTCAGCAACAATTCCCCAATCAAGAGAAGTTAGAAGACCCTGGACTATACCATTATGCAATATTCTCAGATAACATATTGGCCACAGCTGTTGTTGTGAATTCTACTGCTGCCCATGCTAAGGTAAGTTATTTTCACGTGGAGGTTTCCTGAGTTGTTTTTATTCGCCAGGATTATGAAACTGAACACCAAATAAAATAATCTGTTATAGTATCTCTCTGCAGTTAAATTACTATTCTCTCAATGTTTTAACAAACTAATATGTTTTCATTTTATTTGTGCCTAGAGGTAGTGATGGATAAAAAATGAAAACAAAAACCTTATCTGTTACAATATAATGGTGGTATTTTTCTTTCTGATCAGCATAATAATAATGTAGTTTTAATAAATTTTCAGGATTCCTCCAAACATGTTTTCCACATTGTAACTGATAAGGATATAGATGGTGAATTTCAAGAGGACGACGTAGATGAAGAATTTATGGAGGATGACATATCTAACGAATTTCAAGAGGACGATCTGGATGCTTTACTCCTAGAAGACAAACTTGAATGAGTTGGATGATGTCTTTTTTTTGGCTTGTAGTTGAAAGCATTAAACTTGAAATATGATTTTTGTTCTTTTGCTGAACTATGTTTTTAGTTATTTTACTAGGGTCATACTTCAAAGTATTAAAAGTAATATTGTTACGTTAGGCATTTTGTGTACTCTATATACTATATCTTGAATTAAAGTTTGAACTCGATTTTATTATATTACAACTTTTATGGATGTATGGTTTAAGTTATATAATCAATATTTTTTTTGAAGCCAATTATTATTGACTATATTATTTTGATAATAATTGCAAAATTGTATATTTTATGTGGACACTATAAAACAACAACCTATAAGCTATGGCTACACTTCAAAAACGATCTTCCTGATTCAGGTTTAAGGCAACGATTGTTAATTGTAGCCGAATTTGGCAACGCAACGCTTAAAAAAAGTTGTCTCAGAGGCCGTAAATAATCGTCCCCTATTCCTTTACTATAGGCGACGTTTTTCAAAAGCGTTCCCAAAAAACATAAAAAAACGTCGCCTCAAACAATAGGCAACGCTCGCACAGGAGACGCCTAGAAAACGTCCCCTATTGTTTTAGGCAACGATTTTCAGAGTTCTGGCAACGTTTTTCAATTGTTGCTGGAGAGCCTAAATGTTGTAGTATAAACTCAAGTCGGCGGAACAAGATGAGATCTGCATAAGAAATATAATCTAAATATAATATCAACACTCAAACTCAAAACAACAACTAAATTACTTCATATAGATTTTTATAACTTTGTGTAAACAACAACAATAACATCAACAACTCAAAAACAACAACTTACATTAAAAAACAACTAAAAAAAATATCTTAACAAAACTATAACAACATCATCAATAAACTATAAGATTTAGGGTCTCAACAACAACAACAAGATGAGTAGTGATGTTTGATGTACTAGATCTCTTAAGAAGAAGTGAAAGAAAATGTTTTAGATCTCTGAAGAAGAAACGAGAGCCCTAAATACGTAGCATCTTTATATTGAAGATGATATGTGTTTATGACTCTCTTGTTACCTCTCTTGTTCAGGACTCTTCGTTAGAATTTTGTTTGTTTTGTTTTACACAGGTGAACTTGAATGTTACGAGGTAAAAAATTATATATCATGGAAACAATTTCAACTCGGTTGACAAATAAAATGGATGTGAAAAATGACTTATTTTTATATTAAAAAAATATTCAATGAAGCGTCACTTCTAATGAAATAAAAATATGATCTGAAACTGTTAAAAATCAAAGCGTGTACACTGAATTAATTTATCTCTCGATTTTTAGAAAAAAACCAATGGAATATAATGTACATTTTTTAAAGAAAAAAATGACACTTGTCCAAAATTTATATTTCAGTTTTACAATGTGAAGTGAAATAGTTATTATAAAATATAATTTTTTAAAATAATATAAGGTTCAATCCTATGACAACAAGATTTTTTAAATGAATATATTAATGTTAAAATATTGTTATAAATCGTCCACTTATATATATATATATATATATATATATATATATATATATATATATATATATATATATATATATATATATATATATATATATATATATATATATATATATATATATATATATATATATATATATATATATATATATATATATATACATACGTTTAATTAAATATATCAAAGAAAAAGAATATACGCAACCCAAATTTATAATCAAATTTACAATATATTTTTTGCCTTTTGAAAATTAATCTCCCTACAACAAATTTTGTGTGTAAAAGTCATACTCTACTTTATTCCTCAGATATTGGTTGAAAAAAAGGACATACATATTCATATGCCAAAGTTGAGAGGACATATTCATATGGTTGCAGTACTAAACACAGCTAATTCTGGTCGGTGGCAAATGTGCTTTCTGGCAACATGAAAGTACTCATACCTGAATTGTGTAGGACACAACCATGCGTGCAATCTACAGTGAGACTACAACAAAAACAAAAACACCATCTAAATTCAGAGACATATGTAGTACATAAAAAATAAAAATACTTATTAAATTTCACATAATTATATTAATATTTTTAAAACTTTAGTAATACTCAAAATGGAGAAGAGAGGAAATTGAAAAGATCTTGACTCCTAAATTACTCATCACATTAAAAGGAAGATTGGAAAATGGAATAAATCATCTAAAAAGAATTATGGACCATAAAACACATGCAGAATTTTCAATAATTAAATCTTAGTGACCATTTTTTGAAGACAGAACATGACACCTATCTCTCATAACTTTTTTCAGTGAAACCTTTTATGGATGATATATAAACACTCTCCTTAGAGTTAGATAGTAAAGGTGGAAGGTAGAAGAGACAATGACTACATATGTGACTCATTTTGAAGGAATAGTTAGTTTTAGAAATTGTGCTCAATCTAAGAACTTTATAAACGTTGAATATGTAAACTAAGATTTTGGATAGCCGCAAAAATTATTCACAATATATATGTAAGATAAAATCCCACAAAATAAGTATGTACACACACTAAAATAACTATTAAATTTTAATACCCACACTGTCTCATACTTGCATAATTTTTTTCTTAAATTTTTTATATTATGTAAACATGCTTATTTATTAATTTTATTAAAAAAACAACTATTAAATTTGTATGTTTTTTAATATAAATATTTGTTTATTTCATAACTCAACAATATCATTTTTGAATATTTTTTAATTTTGTGAAATGCATAAAATAACATGATAAATTATAATTCATAGATTATTTTTTTATTAGAAATACGGGTATACATATTGGGTACGGACATATCTACCCATAAGATACGGGTACTCGTACAAGTATAAACATTGGTGTTTACGCGGATGTAAGTTTGGATATGAAGATTTTTTTCAAACTGCAGTTATGGAGATGAAGATGAGTACTATAGTACCTTGTCAAACCGTGTCCATTTTCGTCCTATTAGAGTAAGATCATGAAGATTCAAATGTGAAACTTGCGTGACCATAGTAGGCCTTGATGTATAGTAGTATGGTTAGGTAGCTAGAATAACTAACTCTCAAGTTAGTTACAACAAATCATGCAATGTATATATAGAGATCATAGTCTCTCTGGAATCAATCAATGAAGCATGCAAGCTAAGCTTCCATAGTGCAATATTCACTTAACATGGTTTCATCAGCCTCAAAGGGGCCTCGTTCGGTTGCATCATCATCGTCTTCAACCTTGATGATTCATCACCATTGTTAGTCTGTAAAAGCTTCAGAGAAGCATTTTCTGCACCAGTCGCAATAACAGTGTTACACATTTGAGTTAGTGAATTCACAACTTTGGAGAAGCTTACTTACATCCTCGATCCTTTCATTTGCATCGTGAAATGTTTCAGAGAAACATTTCTCATGGAGGATCTTGAGAAATCACTGAACTCGTCGCATCAAGAATCGCACAGTGCACAAACTCCATATGTGTTTTCAGGTATCTCGAATACTTTTACACCAAATCATTCCATCAAGCTTCAAGAAAACTACTTCTTGCTTTGGAATGAACAAGTGGAGGGAGTTATCCTTTCACACAAACTTCACAGAATGGTGGTGAATCCACAAATACCAGCGATGTTAGTATCTGATGGTGATTGCATTGCCAACATTGTGTTTGAGAAGTATGGAGCATGGATTGTTCAATATCAGGCTCTGTTCACTTGGCTGCTATCTACCATGTCAAAATTATTTCTTCCTCGACTTCTCTTATGCAAACATACACATGTGATTTGGGATAAGGTTCACAAACATTTCAATTCACACAAGAAAGCTCGAGTTCATTAGTTGCGAGCAGAACTGAAGATGAGCAAGAAAGGTTCTAAATTCATCTCTGAGTATGTTTTACGCATGAGCCATTGTTGATTCACTACTCGCAGTTGGTGATCCCATATCTGAAAGGGATCAGGTTGATGCCATCTTGTAATGGTTACTAGAGGAATACAACCCTTTCATCATGATAGTTTATAGCAAAGGTGAACCAACTGACATTTATGATGTTGAAGCTTTTCCCTATGTCCAAGAATCTCAATTGAAAAGGTACAAACATGAATTGGCCACACCAAGTGCAACTACCAATGTGGCTTAAGAATCTGCTACAGAAAGTGGCAGAAATGGCTTATCCCACAATCACGATCAGAACTACTAGCATGCTATGGGCATAAATCAACGTGGTAGAGGTCGTGGCAGGAAGAATTTTTCCTTAGGAAGCAAGCCAACATGCTAATTGTGCAACAAATATGGACATTTAGTTCTTGACTGTTGGCATTGATTTGATGAGAACTTTGATCCAACTCCACCAAAATCTGAGACTCATGCTTCAAATGATAACGACACTTAAAAGTTCCAAGAATGCACCTACTATTGTTAATCTTTCTAATGTCTATCTAGCTCATCACAACACATTGGAGGTTCCAAAAGATCTTGAATAACAAGCATGGTTTGCAGATTCAGGTGCATCACCACAAGTTGGAGTTACAAAGCGCCAAGTGTGTGTACCTGGGAGTTTCTCCAACTCATAAAGACAACAAGTGCCTCACCGTGGAGGGTAAGGTCATTATCTATAAATAATGTATCTTTCAATGAGCAAGAATTCCCCTTTCAATCTAGATTCAATCTAAATGAGCCAACCATTATAGCCACACAAACTATTGTGTCCTCATTTCCCACTAGACTATTATAGAGTCATTCAAATTCCTTTATACCCAGTGTACCTATTGCACTACCTTCCACACACTCATTACCTAGTGAGTCTCCAGTCCCTACAAATGAGGATTCTTTACCTGAACCATTAACTCCCCCAAATACTTCTCATAATCTTCACATATTTACACCTGAGGTCATAGTTCCCGACTTAGTTTCATTTGGATCTAGCCAAAATGTGACATCCAAGTGTCGTGGCGAGAAAAAATTGAGATTAAGCTATTGATTAACTTAACTCGAAAAAATACAAGAGT